TTTTTCCTTGATGATCTTTTCAGATTCTTGGTTTATGCAGGAGAGGCAAAATTTTACCTTTACCCTCTTAGGAGCTCTGGCTGGGCTTGAGAATTAAATTGATATAAAACAGATTACCAGAATAGAAGTTTATAAATTCATTTAATGTAAGTTTTACGTGATACACGAAGCTTCATAAGGAAATGAAGACCCAAAAAAGTAGCAAAACCTAAGTGCTTATATGTTAGATTGAACGAAGAGAGGCGATTTTAGAAAAGTAACTAAAATACATGTGGAAACTAAAGGAAGATAAAAGTTATCTTAACAAGGTTTGCTTGCACAGAATTTTTTCTTAGTTTTGGCTCCTCATCTCTGGTGATAAGAATGTTTCTTTCCTCCTAGTGTAGAAAGGGCATCTTTGATATGGGAGGTTTTTTTTTTTTTTTTAAGTTTATTATTTTCAGAGAGAGACAGTGTGAGTGGGGGAGGGGCAGAGAGAGAGAGAGAGAGAGAGAGAGAGAGAGAGAGAGACAGAATCCAAAGCAGGCTCCAGGCTCTGAGCTGTCAGCACAGAGCCCCACATGGGGCTCGAACCCACGAACTGTGAGATCATGACCTGAGCTGAAGTTGGTTGGTTAACTGGCTGAGCCCCCCAGGTGCCCTTTTCATATGGAAGTTTTACCTTCTATTTTCCGGGAGTAAAAGGGGACGTCAGTGGGCCTTTCTTGTCCCTTTATCTCAAAACAATCCTTATGCCAAAGTGGCATATGGTGGGAGTGGGGGCGGGGGGAGGGCTGTTCTGAGCTCCTTTGCGTCTTAGGTACAACATTTTTTCTTAATAACTTGTACATTAAGCTACATTTGTCCTATGTCTTGCAAGTACATTTTCTGAATTCATTACTTTAAACTAATCCTTTTGTTTTATATCTATATACTGTTCTCAATTGGTTCTTTTTCCAATTTAATTTTCTAACTGGTCAAGGTACTGGTCATGGTCAAGGTATTGATGCTGGTTAATGACAAGGAAGAAGTATAATTTTTGAAAATGGAGAAGAAGATGCAATGAGTTTTGGTTTATTTATTTATAAGATGCAATGAGTTTTAATCAAGAAACACCGTTATGATCCCATTTTCCACTATATATTGGGAATTCTTAATACTTATACCTAAAAATGTGGATTCAGTCGTGGGGCGCCTGGGTGGCACAGTCAGTTGCGCGTCCGACTTCCGCTCAGGTCTTGATCTCATGTTTCATGGCTTCAGGCCCCATGTCGGGCACTGTGCTGACAGCTCAGAGCCTGGATCCTGTTTGGATTCTGTGCCTCCGTCTCTCTCCCTGCCCTTCTCTCCCCTCGTGCTCTGTCTCTCTCTTTCTCAAAAATAAAAAAATAAGCATTAAAAAAAATGTGGATTAAGCCGTGAGGACTACGTGCTACGTAGCACGTGAAAAGTGGTCACCTCCAGAGGCAGCAATCAGAAGTAATACATTTTTAAATTCCTGCTATCCATTTTCTGACATTTGTACAATTCATGAATATACCTGTGTTGGACAAGTCAAGGATACAAACTCTGCCGGTGTTCCCCGCCCCGGGATTTATTTATTTATTTATTTATTTATGCTTCCTCTTAATGAATAGCGGGATTCCGTTTTCTCGCTTTCAACTTTTCAACACAGACGGTTTCCCGCGGTTTTGCCCTCTTTCCCGCGTCTTCTCCAGGCCCCTCGGGGGCCCCCGCGCGGCAGTCTCCAGACACTCAGCGCGCAGCCTCCTCTGCGCACGCGTTCTGCGCCGCCGCCGTAGCCCCCGTTTTGCAAACTTCAGCGCTCGCCGGGGCGGATCCGGCCTTGGAGCGGGCGCGGCGGCGCGTGCACAGTAGGGTGTACGAGGCAGACGCCTGGGCAGGGCTTTCCGAAGGCCCGCGTTCCCCGTGGGCGTCCTGGGCGGGAGGGAACGCGTCCGAGATGCTTAAGGGGCAAGCTGGTGCTCGGGTTGGGGGGCCACGGACGTCGGGGACCTCCTCCCGTGGCTGTGACCCGTTTGTGCGGCATGGCCTGAAACTGGCCGGCCCAGGGCGGGAATAGCCGGGTCCCAGGTGGCCCCGGGCCGCGTGGTCGTCTCCTGGTGGTCTCCCGATGTTGATGCGGAGGAGGGCGCCGGCCTCCAGGGTCTGGTTCTGTGCCTCTCTCACGCCTTCACTTTTTCTCCGCGTCTCTTCCCAATGAATCACAGAGCTCCAATCTTAGGCCCCTCAGTGGGTCATCTGGGTGGAGCCTGGTGCCCCAGGAAGGATCGCAGGGTAATTCTCTGGGCCAGAGTCTGTCCATGACCCTGGTGCCCAAACACAGGAAGACTTCAGTGATGTCTCCGTCTCCTGAGAGCATGAGCGACTGTGTAAGGATGGGGGGATTTGACCCAAATGTTGGTTGGGCTGAGTAAGGATGACGCAGGACTGGAGAAGGTAATGAGCACTGGTCCTTCCAGGAAAAAGAAGAGGCAACAGCCACAGCTAAGAAAATTATCTGAACCCCCTCCATCACTGGGCCAGCTTCCCCTTTACACATTCACCCTCCCATGTCTAATTCCTCCTTGTCCCCCTCCCTCTGTCAATGTGGCCAGGATAATAATGAAATACACATCCAGACTCTTATCCAAAACCGTGGCATGAAAAATATCCTGTGATCAAACATGTTAGTGTTTTCCTCAGGCCTTTGTAGCTTCATGCTAGCCAGGTGAAGAGAGACCTTATGTAGCTTCTGGTTAGTTCATTCTACCAAAACCTTTTATTCCAAATTTATGAGGAAACTTTCAGCTCTCGCACCATTCTTCCTTTGGAATTGCAGGTAAATTGCCGTGGGTTTGTAATAGCTAACATTTATTGAGCCCTGATTATACCTTCGGAACTGAACTAAGTTATTAACTGTATATTCTCATTTTGTATTTGTTACAACTGAGTAGGGCAGGTACTAGTATTATTCTCAGGTTTTTAACGTTTTAGGAAACAGACCCAGAAAGATAGGTAATTTGCACAAGGTCAGACAGTCAATAAATTGGAGTTTGGGGGGCCATGTTTTGAATTTAACAAACTTTATACCCATTCCAGAGTTTCAATAACAGCTCGGGGAACACACGTTAATTTTCCCCCAGAATCATTATTACTTGGATGATTATTATTTAGATTTACTATTTAGATTTTGCCACATTTGATTTTTAATCTCTTATCTGTGTGTGTTCGTATGTCTGTCAATTTTGGGTTGTCTGATGTTTCCTCATTTGATTCTGGTTACACAGTTTGGCAGAAGCCCCATAGCAGTGATGTTGTGTCTTCCTGTCAGGAGGCACCTGAATATCAGTTCTTCACATTTGGAGACTCTGAACTTTGCTTGGTTGAAGTGGTACCTGCCGGATCTCTCCACCTTTTCCTCTCTGCAATTAATGTGGAGCCATTCTTTGAGATAGCTCAATAATACCCAGTTCCGCCACCACACTTCAACTACTGGCTTCAGCCTCCACTGAATTTTAGATTCTTGCCTGAATCTACAATTAGGATGATGTGAACATTCTATTTCTGTCATTCTACTCCATTGCACATTTCTGAGTTGGTACTCTTTTGTAAAGAACTTTTCCCACCCTACCCTTTTGAAATTAGTTAATTCACTTGGATGACACAGGGACTCAAGAATCCATGTTTTATCTAATGTGTTATAATCCATTTCTGTCATCATTTTGGTGCTCATTATTCAGAGTTAGTCTCTCCAGGCTCAAGTGGGCTTGGCTATGGCAGCAGTAAGTCAGACCAGCCATTAAGGGGAGAGAGGCATGAATAATAGGTAGAACACAGAGGGTTGGTTTTTTTTTTTTTTTTTAGGGCAATGTAACTATTCTGTATGATATAATGGTGGATACATGTTATTAAACATTTATTAAACCCATGGAATGTACACCAAGAGTAAACCCTATTGTAAGCCGTGGACTTTGGATGATAATGATATGATGTATAGTCTTCAGTTATAACCTGTACCACTGTGGTGTGGGTATGTTAGTGGGAGGGGTTTTGAACGTGTGGGGATGGGATACATGGGAATATTACTTTCCATTCATGCTGTGAACCCAACATTGCTCTAAAAAAACCAATTTGGCTAATTTTTTTTTAAAAAGGAATTGAAGGTCTAGCAAAAAGAAAGATCATGGCAAATTGTAAAACCCAAAAGATATTTGCTGTTCACTTAAATGAACAATAATGGTCATGGTCTTTGTTTACCTGAGCAGTCTTTAGAGTCCTTTTTCATAGTGGCTGTGTACAGGTAGCACTCCCTGGATGCACTTCTGGCTAACAGATTTATTAAGGCTTTGGGTTTTTTATATAAGTTTTTTTTACATTTATTTATCTTTGAGAGACAGAGCACCAGTGGGGGAGGGGCAGAGAGAGGAGACACAGAATCTGAAGCAGGCCCCAGGCTCTGAGCAAGCGTTCAGCTCAGAGCCTGATGTGGGGCTCAAACCCACAAAGCGTGAAATTGTGACCTGAGCCAAAGCCAGTCTCTTAACCGACTGAGCCATCCAGGCACCCCAACGTATTAGGGCTTTATACCTATGAGAAAAGAAAAACAATTAAATACTGTTACCATAGCCATGCATATTAAATAGAGAAATCAATCAGAACGACAGACTTTTCAGAGGTCAGGCATTATTTTTCCAGTTCATATGTAACTCTTTTCTAAACATTTGCTTCTACAAAGTTAGCTATGACTACATCTGCTTCCCTTGCAGCTGCGGGAAACCAGAGAATATTGTCTGCTTCTTATCTCGCAGACTCCTTCTGCAGAAGTTTAAAGGGCTTATAGCTTTTAAAAACAATGTAGACACCCTTCATATACTGGTATGGAACTATCTCTGGGATACAGCGTTAGGCAAAAATACATAAAGCCCAAGACTGAATATGTCATGCTACCCTTTGGCTAATAAATGGGGAAAACTCTGATGTACATTTGTCTTTGTTCAAAGCAAAGCCATTCAATTGCTTACCTGCGAATCAAGGAATAGGTAGGAATAAAGCTTCTCACTGCTAATCTTGTCCTATCATTTTGGTTTTGTGCCATATGCATCCATTTCCTATTCAAAAACAAATTGTAGTTTAAAAAATCAACTGCATTGCTTTAAAAAACATAACTTTTCAAGATTATGATTCAATGTTCCATTATATCTTACCGAAACGTCTATGATGTGTCTGCTTTGTGCTAGACATTTTTAGAAGTTGGGGGAGGGGATACAGCAGTGAGCAGTGAAGAAAACGAAGACCTTTGCACGCATGGAGCAACAGCTAGAGGGAAAAATAGGAAATAAACAATAGTTAAAATAAAGTATCAGAAGTTAATCAGCGACACACACAGAAACATACATACTTTTATTTGTAAATAATTTCAAAATTACAGAAAAGTTGCAAGAGTAGCATGAAGAAACTCTGTATACTCTTCACATAGAAATTACCAATTCCCATTTTTGTCACATTTGGTTTATCATTCATCCTTTTCCCTGCCCGCTATCCATCAATTTATACTTTTCTGAACCATTTGAGAACTTCATGTCTCATATTTGTATTTTCTGAGAACAAAGATATTATCTTACACAACCAGAAGATAATTTCTAATGTCAGAGAAGTTAACATTAGATCAATCAAGGGGTACCTGGGTGGCTCAGTTGGTTGAGCATCTGACTCTTTGATTTTGATTCAGGTCATTGTCCCAGGGTTGTGGGCTCGAGCCCCATATTGGGCTCCACACTCAGTGTGGAGCCTGCTTAAGATTCTACCTCTCTCCCCCCCAACCACCTCTCTCCCTCTGTCCCCTGCTCATGCTTTCTCTCCCCCCTACGTCTCATATACGCAAACACACAAATTAGATCAATAGATTAATTTAGATCATATTGCATTCATCATATAAAATCCAATGGACCAATACCAGATTTGATCTAGTTAGACAGAAGTATGTCTTTTTTTTTTTCACCATTTTTATTTGGAAATTATGTATGGTTTAAGGAGATGCATCTGAGTGCCAAGTTGACAAGAAGTAGAATGTGATGGCTAGATTTATGTGTAAACTCAGCTAGGCTATACTAGCCAGTCATTATTGGATCAAACACTAATTTGGTGTTGCTGTAAAGGTATTTTATAGATGTGCTTAACATCTACAACCAATTGGCTTATTTAAGCAAAGGATTTTATTTTCATAATGTGGCTGGGTCTTACCAGATCAGTGAAAAGGCCTTAAGGATTTAAGTAAGAGTTCCCTGAGGAAGAAGTTCAGCCTCCAGGAGCCTAGGTGGCTCAGTGGGTTGAGCATCCAACTCTTGATTTCAGCTCAGGTCATGGTCCAAGGGTCATGGGATGGAGCCCTGCTGCTGGCTCTGCACTGGGTGTGGAGCCTGCTTGAGATTCTCTCTCTCCCTCGCTGGGCCCCTGCCCTGCTCTCATGTGTGCATAAGTGCTCTCTCGTTCTCTCTCAAAATAAATAAATAAATATGAAAATTTTTTATTTTTTTTTTATTTTTTATTTTTGAGACAGAGAGAGACAGAGCATGAACGGGGGAGGGGCAGAGAGAGAGGGAGACACAGAACTGGAAGCAGGCTCCAGGATCTGAGCCATCAGGCCAGAGCCCGATGCGGGGCTCGAACTCACGGACCGTGAGACCGTGACCTGAGCTGAAGTCGGAGGCTTAACCGACTGAGCCACCCAGGCGCCCCTGAAAAATTTTTAAAAGGAAAGAAATTAGCCTCAAGACTGCAGCATTAGCTCTGGCTGGAGAGTTTCCAGGCCACTTACTAGCCTACCCTCTGCCCTCTGGATTTGAAACTTACTATGCCCCACAATCACATAAGCAAATTTCTTGAAACAAATCTCATATATACATATTACAACTACATATGTATATGCAATACACACATATACACCATACACATAGTTATAAAAGATGTATACATGTCAATATTTATAAAACATATCTTACTAGTTCTCCATAGAACTCTTCATACGTTCTTCATTCCTTGACCTAATTAACTTATTGCTATGCTTTTGTCTCATCTTAGAAATATTAAATCTGAAGGGCATTTCTATACTCTCTGATTCCAGTTCTGAATCTGTACCCATCCTCAAATCATCAAAGATGCATTTGATTCTCTCAGCTCCACAGTTATGAAAAAAAAAGTCACCAATGGTGACTTCTTAGATTGCTTAACGTACCTCTAGGTGGACATTAGAACCCCTAATGTGAGTTTGTTGGTTTCTTGACATCAACAACTTAACAAAGTCAGGTTGGCCCAGGGTTCATGCTCTGTCCATTCTCTTCTCCAATCTACACTCATTCCTCTGTTGGTCTTACCTAGTGTCATGACTTGGAATAGCAGTGTAAGCTAACAACTCTCAAATACATGGGAGTGTCCACAAAAATGAAAAAACCTTTTTTAAAATTTTAAAGAGAAAGGAAGGGGGTTTTATTTGAGCTCATGTTAAGACAGCTACCTAGGATACACAGTCTTCACAAAGCAAAGAAGAGGGTGCTCTGGGGAAGGAACGGTTGGTACACTGCTACACACACACACACACACACACACACACACACACACAATGAATTGTAACTCTTTATTAATTAACATTATGACCCAGGACATTCCAAAAATTCAGACTTTGTCTTACGTTTTTAGTATGTGCAAATACATATGACTAATCTTAGGGGAACCAGGGAGGTTTTTTTCTTTTTCTTATATTTATGTTTGGAATGCTACATTCTGGTTCTCTTTCTTTTCAAGTTTATCTATTTATCTTGAGAGAGAGAGAGAGAGAGAAAGAGAAACACGAGTGGGCAAGGGGCAGAGAGAGAGAGGGAGGGAGAATTCCCAAGCAGACTCTGCACTGTTAGTGCAGAGCTGGATGTGGGACTCAAACCCAGGAACCATGAGATCTTGACCTGAGCTGAAATCAAGAGTCAGATGCTTAACCGATTGAGCCACCCAGGTGCCCCTGTTATTTTTATTTTTATTTTCAGTGAAGCAGATGTACAACATGTGCTTGGGGCAGAAACAGAGCCCATGCCAAGCCATTTTGACCTTGGTAAATGTTAAAGTATAATTTCCCCAGGAGCCCAAGAGCAAAGCCCACAAACGTGAAAAGCTGAAAATTTCCTTTATTTTATCAAAGCTGAACTCTTTTCCAATGTTGTCATTGAACTGCCTATGTAACACATGCCTCGTGGTCTCATGGACATTTCAAATTGACCATGCTGGAAACTGGGTCCTAAGTTTCCCTCTAAGCCTCCTGTGTCTGCTCCTCCCCACCTCACAGGATGCCAAATCCATTCTTCGTAATCTGGGCCAACTACACGACTCAGAAGTTCATTCATCTTATGAAAAAGGCCCTAGGCTAAATAAGTCCCTGGAGAGTGTGCAACTTGTGAAAGGGGACTTTCAGTGTCCTCCTTGGGAGGTTTTGTGGTGGTTGTTTTTTCTTTTTTTGAGACAGCACGAGTGGGGACTGGGCAAAGAGCAAGGGAAAATCCTAAGCAGGCTCTACACTGTCGGCAGAGTGTGAAATCATCACCTGAGCCTACATCAAGAGTCAGATGGTTAACCAACTGAGCTGATCAGGCGCCCCCTCCTTGGGAGGATTTTTAAGCTACTTTTTGGTCTTTTCCCCTAGAAGAGGATGGAGGAAGGTGGTACCGAAAAAAGGAAGTCACCAGGCCAGCTGGGGCAGAAGGCCAGTTCTTCGCCTTTTCATATGCCTCCACCCTGACAAATGTCCGTCTCCGGAGCCTCAACTTCCCAGGCACAGAATGGAGGCTTCACCCCTGCCCCTTGGTCCTCTGAGTTGTGGCCACTTAAAAAGGCAGATCGGTTGCTCGCTTGCTTGTGCTCCTTCCCCTCGGAGGAAGACGCCTGGTTAAGTCCATCCTGCCCGGTCGGATTCACAGGAGGGAAACCACATTACCCAGAAGGCATCTGAGGCCAATGCCTGCCAAGAACAGGGGCGCTTCCTGCGGCTCACGTACGTGGGCGGGGCTTCCGGGGTTTTCACTGCCGCCGCCATTTGCCTCAGCCGTTTGCCCTGGGACTGCCCTGGGACGGCCTTGACCCGCCGCGGGCTGTGCCAGCGCCGCTCCTTAGGCCTTTCGTGGGGACCAAACAGGGAAGGAGACTAGGCTTCACCTTCGCGCTTCGCAGGGGCCGCGACTCCCTGCAGCGGGTGTGCCCCCTGGCCGCTTGCCGGGCCGCGCGGCCTCTCGGCCGCCCTCATCCCCTCGGTCGCCGAGGGCGGCGCCCCGAGTCGTGGTGTCTTTTACGCCGAGGCCGCCCGGGCGCTCGCCTCTTTTCGCCTTGCTCGACCCGCGGGGCCCACGATGGCGGTGCCGCCGACCGGCCCGACCCAGGTCAGTGGACGTTGGCGTCGGAGTTGCTGCGTCTGTGCGAGGGCGGAGACGGGCCCCCAGTGGGCCTGGAGCCCCGACGTCCGCTGGGCCGATCTCCGCACTCGCGGGGTGTGGAGGGTGGGGCTGGCTTGCGGCTTAACTGACCCCCGGTTCCGTGGAGTGCTTGGTCTCGGGCTCGCCAGTAAGTTGTGGAAAGAACGAATGATGCTTCCGCCTGGGACTCCCGTCAGTCTTAGGGTAAATCCCGCCCCCAACGGGACCTGGGAGGACCCACGCTGCCCCACCTGCCCTCTTCTAACAGGTGACCTTGGGCGTCGGGCGGAGGGGGCCCGCTTTCCTGGCAGAGACGAGTTCAGGGGGCCCGGGAGGGCCAGTGAGGTTGCGGTGGTCCCAGCTGCTGGGGCGGGGGGCGGGATGCTCCACCCCTGCTCCGCCAGCACCGACTTGGCGGCCAGTCAGAGGCTCTTCTTCCCGTGGCCAAAGCCTGTGTTCTCCGTAGCCATTTGTGCTCCCTGGTCCCGCAGTGTCCAGGCCTCGGGGCAAGTACTGTCAGAGCTCAGGAAGAAGGAGGCTCATGGTTCCTGGTGGAGTCTCCCCGGGAGTGAGGTGGGGAGCGGGCGGCGCAGGTCCGGTCCCTGCCGGTTACCCAGGGAGGCGCCAACCCTCCAGGTGCCGTTCTTGTGAGGTCAGTGCTGAGGGCTCTGCTCCTCTGCCCACGTTCACGAAAAGAGTTTCAGGGTTGATGGAAATGTATTTAACGACAAAAGTTGGGGCAGATGCTTCCCCACGTCAGTACATTGTAATCACTGTGATTACGGAGGAATTCCCGATGCCCTCTCTTCCTCCCTGTACAAGAGTAAGCAGCGGTTAACATGTTGCCTCTGGTTTGTGAGAGGCAAGGCTTCGGGTGAATTTGGGGAACTCCCTTAGCCTTTCGGGGACTGGTTGGAGGTGATGAGATGTTCCCCCCGCCCAGGGAGGGGGGGCTGTGGGAGAAACGAGAACCCAAAGAGGCTGAGCTGAGTCATTTCCATGTAAGTCTCACGGCTGTGACCAGTGAAGCGGGAACTATTATTGTATTGATCCAGAAACAGACGCTCAGAGAAATGAAGTGATGTCTTCAAGGTTAACACAGCTGGCAAGTGTCGGCTTTCAAGAGTTTGGATTCCAGCCACAGGAGACTGACTTATGGACTGGGGACTTGTAGTCGCTTTAACCAGGATGTGCCCCTCAGCATGGGGCAGGCAGCGAGCAGGACCAGTGAGGCTCAGGTA